TGCTTACAAAACTGGCTCTAATTCCTTAGCGTATATTTCAGAGTGTTACAGTTGAGTGGAATGGCGATTCTAGTTTTAGAATGAGTATTCTAAACCCAACTTAAAAACAGAACTGCTGTTTGCTCCAACTACACTACGCCTTGTATGCGGGTAAAGTACAAGTGTGCATAAAGCAGTAACATTACAAATACCATTTTTTGTTTGTTAGTTTCCAGACAGGGTTTCAAACTTTGTAGGTTGTTAGCTCAGGCTGGCCTCAGACTCGAGGCAATCGTCCTGCCTTAACCTCTGGAGTGCTGGGATTGCTGGTGTGCATCACCAGGCGAAGTACTAAAATTACAAATATCTTAATGGCAGAGTCTGGAGCAACGGCTCTCCACTTCCCTCCCATGTCTTCCCTGTAGCACTAGGAATGAAACTCCAGGTCTTGCGTTCAAGCGGCAAGTACTGTCGCTGGGACAAGTACTGTCATTGGGGCAGGTCCTCTGTCAATCACTGGGGCAGGTACTCTATCACTTTGCAACCTGCTGACCTCCCTCTCTATTTAGTACAGGGTCTACAGGGTACAGGGTCTACAGAGTCTCACTACTAGATTGGACTCGTAGTGATTCACCTGTTTACAGCCTCCCAAAAGCTGGGATTACAAGTGTGCGCCACCATGCCCAGTCTCAATCGGGGTCTCAGCTTGCCCTGGGGGCAGGGCTGGCACGGTAGGCCAGGAATTGAACCCTGGGTTCCTGTGTCTACCTAAGTAGGAACTTTAATCCATTGAGCTATTTGGCCAGCCCTAAATTGGAGGATTTTTTTCTTTTGGTGGAGCTGGGGATCAAATCGCAGTCCCCTGTGTCTGAGTTTGCCCAAGCAGGCACTTTACACAACTGAGCTAACCCTCAAGCCCTGGCTCTGTCCTCTGCAGGGCCGCGTCACCACCCAGCTTTGTGCTGAGCAAGTCCAGCTCCCAGGAGCTCCTGCCTGCCCTCAGTGGATGGGCCCCAGCCCCTCATCCCTCGCACATGCACTCCTCCATCTCCATGCCAGGGGAATCTTCTTTCTTCTACACTTTGCATATACAAAAAATCCTTTAGCATGCTGAGAGTGAAGGACTGCAGCAGCTGCACAAGATCTCACAGAATTCGGCCAAGTTAAAAACAATTACAATACTGGGAAAGCCCACAATTTGCTGTAATATGGTATGATGAAGTAAAATGGAAACAAGCTCAAGGAGAAAAAGAAATGATGTAAATTTATTTTCCTATTAGAATGCTTATTGCATCTTTTAAAGTGGATGATAAAGCTGGGTGTGGTGGTGCACATTTGTAATCCCAGTATTGAGGTTGAGGCAGGAGAATCTTGTGAGTTCGAAACCAGTCTGGGCTACGTAAGGTCAGGGCCAGCCTCAACTGCATACCAAGACCCTGTCTCAAAAAGACAATCAATGAATCAACATGGATGATAGAGGTACCAGCACCATACTTCTTGTTGGATGCTTTACTTATTTTTTTTTGGTGGTCCACTCAGCCCGCCCTGGGGGCAGGGCTGGTGCAGCATGTGGAGCCCAGGATCAAACCATGGTCCCTGCACTTGCCTAAGATTGCCTAAGCAGGCACTTTGGACCGCTGAGCTATCTTGCTGGCCCTGTTGGATATATTTTAATAAACTGATGTGACAGCTGGGGATGGAGGTGTGCCCCTGTAACTCCAGCAATTCAGGAGCTGAGGCAGGAGGATCACAGGTGACAGAACTTAATGGGACCTTGTCTCTCAGATAAAATTAAAACAGACAAAACAACAACAACAAAAATGAGCTAAGGTTGGGTGCAGTGGCACATGCCTGTGATCCCAGCACTTGAGAGACTGAGGCAGGAGGATCACTGCAAATTCAAGGCTAGTTTGGGCTACAAAGTGAGCTCAGGGCCAGCCTGAACTGCATAGTGAGACCCTGCCTCAAAAAGACAAAAAAAACAAACTGGGGACAGAGCTCATTGCAAGCACAGGGGCTTAAGTTTGATTCCTGGTGCTGAAAACAAACAAAAGAGGGAGCTGAGGATGCAGGTCAGGGATGGGTGTTTGCTGAGTTTGTGCAAGCCCGAGCTGAGCTCAGCTCACAGCACATTCAAGCACACACACGCATGTGCGTGCACACGTGTGCATACACACACACACACACACACACACACACACTCCGAAACTAAAGAACTGATGGAACATTAAGAAAAAAATCAGTATTTCCAGTACATCAGGAATTGCATCTCATTGAATGATTTCAATCTATGAGGAGCTGTACTTATTATGTATGAAAATGTCCAACAGGGTGAAAGCCTTTCTAAAACATTTGGCAAGGGCTGGGGAGTTGGCTCAGTGGAATAAGCACTTCCCTGGCAAGTGCAAGGGCCTGAGTTCAAGACCCAGTTCTGAAAAAAAAAAAATTAATTAAAAAAAAATTTTACCTGCCCCTCATCTAAGTGAATATCTGATAGCAATGTGGTTGACTCTCCAGCATC